AGGCCCCATGGGGCAGGGCGCCGCAGCCACCCACCGTCTTGGCGGCTGCAATGCCGCAGTTCTTGAGCAGGCTGAAGCTGAAAGGACTGACGGCGTCCTTGGGTGGGAAAGGCTTCATGGTGGAAAGGATCAAGGCCAGGCAGTCTGCCACGTCTTTGTTGGGGGCGCAGGCCAATGCTGGGGTGTGACCTGAAGGGCAAGCAGGAGAACTGAGGCACAGGATCCCAACCCCTGCATCCTCATCTACCCTCCCCAGGTCCTGAGGTCTCTCAGCTGTGAAGAGGAGCCAAGGCAGGAAAGCACCCAGTGCGGTCAGTATTCAAGGCCAGTAGAGCCCAGGGAGACTGACAGACAGATGCTTAGAGTGTGGGGGGAGGGTAAAGGCAGAGCGTGAGGACAGAAGCCTAGAGTGTGGGGAGGTCTTCCTGACCCTGCTGGCTTCACCTAGTTCCATCAGACTCCCCTCTGAGACTCCAGAGTACTGGTGGTAGGTCCCTGCTCTGAAGAGTTCCCTTGGGAAGAAAATCTCATTTATAGCAAGGTTAAGAAGTCACCTCCTGAAGTATGTCCCTGACCCCAAACCTGGGAGAGGTGGGGGGCTCCGGGCCCCACCCACCTTCTTCATCCACAGCCAGCACTGTGGCCCCGCGACTCAGCAGGGCCTGCACCACAGAGGCTAGACCATTCCGGGCAGCAATGTGGAGTGGCCTTGGAAGAGAGGAAAGAGAAAGGGCATGAGGCCAGTGGATGCCAAGCTGCCCTTCCACCCCCAGCCAGGGTGGCAAGGGCACTGAGCAAAGGCTGTGGGCTCCAGGGAGCTCCGGGGATGTGGGATGCTCTTTCTTCACCCACCTGCCTCCCCCAGCCAGGAGCCCCCTTCCCCGCGCACTCACATCTGCAACGCACTGTTGGTGGCATTGATAAGGCCAAGGTCTTGGGTTTCTGCCAGGATCATGAGGGCACATTTCTCATGGCCCTAAGGAGGGGAACAGAGGGTGGAGATGTGTGAGGTGGGCACATGCAGGCCGCAGGGAGGAGCTGGGGAGGATGCCAGGTGGACAGTGAGCTGCCCCACCTGTTGGATAGGCGGAAGACTGACTTCCACTCCAGTCCTTGTAATCAAGACTCGTCTCCTCACCAAGCCCTGCCCGATATAGAGCCCACTCCTGCCACCACCACCAGCCTAGGCGATACCTTGCTACAAGCCAAGTGGAGGGCAGTGTTCTTGTTCTCATCCAGCACAGTAAGGTCTGCCTTCCCTCGATACAGCAGAAACTCTATAAGAAAAATGAGACAGAGGGATTGACACCTCTTTCCAGAGTAATGGCCGTCTGGGATCTCACACATCCTGTGTACATGCACATACATGCAGAATCTTCAAAAAGTTCATGGAAAAATGAATTTTTTAAAAATGATGCATGGATTTTTAAAAAACTTTTGACACCAAAATAAACTCATTTCTTTCTTCCTTTTTTTTTTTTTTTTTTTTTTTAAAGATTTTTGTCATAGGGCACATGTACTTGCTGGAGAGAGACACAGAGTGAAAGAGAAAGTGAGAAATCACCCCTGGGAGGATGGTCATGTCACAATCCCTTCTCCTCTATTCTCCTTCTGGGATTTAGGGCATGCATGCACAATGTACCCAGTATAATTTTCAAGTTGTTTGGTCCAGGACTCAAATCACAATTGTCCAGGAATTTACCTACTACTATGCCACTTGCTGGCCCCTAACTCAGATTTTAATTCTATTTTTCTGTAAACTCTTTGAAGTCCCTTTATAACTGTATTCCATTTGCATAGGGTGAGATATCCAAAGACAGCCCTCCTGCTTCCTGAACCCCAGCCCCAGCAAACCCACAGGTAAGGCTGATGCCTGCCAACACCCAAGAGGAGCTCTTCCCTTCCACCTCTGGCCCCTACACACCCACAGCAGCGGTCTGCCCGTTCTCAGCCGCCGTCATGAGCGCAGTGCGGCCAGTGTGGTCAGTGGCGTTCACCTCGGCTTGGTGCTGCAGCAGCATCCGGAGCCCAGAGACATTGTCCGCGAAGGCAGCGGCGTGAAGGGGGGTCCTGTGGAGGAGGTGGGGGTAGAGTGAAAAAGAGAGGGTTCTTCAACTTGAGCACAAAGAGGAAGCCAGGAGCAACTCGGGCTTCTCCCCAAGCCTTCCGTCACTCACCGTCCTTTGGCATCTCGGCTGTTCACAATCTTGGCACCCAGAGCTCCCAGCAGCATCTCTGTGGTGCTGTCCTGGTTATTAATTCTGGTGGAAGAGGGATCATCAGGAGGGGCAAGGGAAATGGCCCATGTCACAGCCCTGAGAGAGGGACTGACAAAGGGTAGACTTACACTGCACAGTGCAAAGGAGTGAAGGGATTTCCTTCCAGGTATGAAAATGGGCTGTGTTCAAGTAACAACTCCAGACAATCTTCATGTCCTAGGTACGAGGAAGGGAGAGTAGTAGCGAGAAACGCCAAAGGCCCCCTAAGTGTCTGGCCATTCTGTCCCACTTCCAGTTCTACACAGGGCCCTTCCGCCACCCACCCATCCTTCTCTACACCCCACATACCCTGTGCCTGCCGAAGGCCCAGACCCGTACCAGTGTAGGAGGCCCAGTGCATGGGCGAGTATCCGCTGTAATCCACCCCAGCGTCCAGGGGGTCTGTGGAAAGGGCAGCCTGCAGCAGGGTCCTTAGTACTGCAGTGTGGCCACAGGCCGAGGCCAGGTGAATAGGTGTGCGGCCCTTAAAGTCTCGGCACAGCACAAATGCGTCATGGTCCAGCAGGGCAGCCAGGCAGTCCTCACAGCCGGTCACTGCCTGTGGGTGACATGGGAGTGGAGGTGAGGAGCCACTCCCTTTCCCCTGGCCAGTGGCTGGGAGCTGGTTCAGGAGTAGGAACCGCTTTCTGGTCTTTACAACGATGACTCTAAGTATTGGGGATCACATCTCCTTCTTTGACTCTCTCTATGCCAACAATCAGGATGGCGAGATCATACTGTGCTCTGAAGGTACCATCCAAATGAAGGGTAAAGAAAAGACTAAGGGACCAAAGAATCATACAGCAGGAACAGGCTGCTTTAGGACAGGTAGCCATGAGAGGGTCTGGGTGGGGGCATCGTTATCTGACGGCACAGGGCCAACAGGGAATCTTGGGTAGAGTGAGGGTGAGGCCTCTGGCTGTATGTGGAACAGGGTAATGAAGGAAGTCAGCTGAGGATGTCAGGCAGCGTCCCAGAGCAAGACCAGTAAGGCCCAATAAGATCCAGGGCACAAAATCCTGGCCTGCAGGGGCCATCAAAGTGGTGTGGTGGTTAAGGTGGCTGGACTTCCACACAGCTGGCCCCAGTTTGAGTCCTTTACCTGGGGGCTTGCTCTTTCATTTTCCCTTTCTCCCTCTGATGCTTTCTGGTCAAATTAAAAAATAATAATAACAAATAAAATTTAAAGAACAAAACAAAAAACAAATCCTGGCCTACCTCCTAGACAGTCCACACTAGGGCCTAATCAGCTCACTCACCCCACGGTGGAGGGCGGTGCGGCCCCGGAGGTCAGCAGCATCAGCTGTGGATCCTTTCTCTAGCAGCAGATGTACACAGTCCACGTGGCCATTCATGATAGCCAGCATCAGTGGAGTTCTATGGAGCGCAGGATAAGGGTGAGGGGCCAGCAAGGATGCGAAAAACCACACCCCACCCCTGGCCCACACTCACTGTCCATAGGCATCCATGACATCTGTGATGTCAGCTCGTTCCCCACTGTCAATCAGCAAGTGCAGGGAATCAGTGTGGCCAGAGGCAGCTAGGAGAAAAGGGAGCCTGCTCAGGGCAGTCAGGAGGGAGGGAGGCAGGCTGAGCATAAAGCATTGAAGGGTTGAGGTCATGGCAAGATCCAGGGCAGGGAGAAATCTTTGGGGATTGGAAGCTGTGGACCATCCTCCCACCCTCCTCCACTCCTAGCCTCAACTCCACTTGGGGGGCTTTTGGGTGTCAAGTGGAGGACAACAGCCCTAGGGGTACTCACCAGCAGCGTGCAGGGGTGTCCACTTGCGCTTACGCTCTTTGATGAGGGCAGAGGCACCGTGGGCCGTAAGCACCTCCACACACTCAGTAGAGCCTCGCTCAGTGGCCAGGAAGAGCGCAGTCCGGCCCTTGTGGTCCCTTACATCCAGATTCACCAGCGTCTCGGCCAGTGTCTTCAGGGCTTCACAGTGACCGTTATAGGCCTGGGGGAGTGCGGGCAACCAACAGACATAGCTGTCCCCTTGCTACCCCAACTCTGCTCTTGGGGCTCATGGGGAGGCTCCCAGCATTAGTCCTCCATGAGCTCCTAGGGCCCCTCAGGCCTCTTCCCTGCCCTGTGCCCACCTCTTCTCTAGATGACTGCCTGCTCACCACTCCCCCAAAAGAAAGCATGAGGGAAAGATTTGCAAATGCTTGCATCTTCGTAGGGGCATGGGGCCAGGCAGGGACAAGGAAAGCAGGGGGGAAAGACAGGACTCACAGCTAAGTGCAAAGGGCTGACTGGAATGGTGCTCTCCACATCCTCCAGGCAGTTAAAGGACATTTCTAAGAGCTGCAATAGACAGGAGGGTAGGTGCTGAGATTCTGGAACACCCACGATACTGCCCCTTGTTCCCTCACTCACAGTGACCTTCTAAGCCCCTAGATCTAGAGACCACATTTGATTCCATCACCCGTTGGTCTCAGAACCTACAAATACAAACACAGCCTGTGTGCCCTCTACCTTCCTCCCTTCCCCTGGGCTGGGTCCCCACACCTACCAGTTCGAGGTTCTGTCTGTTGCCATAGGCGGCTGCATAGTGCACGGCTGTGTAGCCCTGCCTGTCCCGCAGGGAGGGGTCTGCACCGTTATCCAGTAAGAACTCCAGACAGCTGGGGAGCCAGGGAAAGATCATGAGGCAGGGATAGGCCTAGCCCAGGAGGCACATTTCTGTGAGGGGCGAGGATAGGGGCCAGGGAGACCCTCCAGGCCTACCTAGCCACCAGTCATCCTCTGCACCAGGCAGGCTCTCTAAATCCTGCCCATTCTTCAGCTCCAGCTCCAGACCCACTACCTTCCTGAGGTCTGCCCTGAGTCACTGTGGCTTCAGTGCCTTTCTTTATTCTCTGAACACTTTGCCTTTTTATTGAAGTTTTTTTTGAGCGTTTTTTTTTTTTTTTTTTTTGAGGGTGTGTGTACTCGCCAGAAAGACAGAATCAGAGAGACAGAAAGTGAGAAATCACCTCCCCCAGGGAAGATGGCCGCGCTGTAATCCCTTCTCTTCCATTCTCTCGGAATCTTGGGCACACATGCACCCATGCCTGGAGTGAGTTTAAGCCACTGAGTCTGGGACTCGAACCGCCATTGACGACATGGACTCCAGTGAC